TGAACTGAACTGGTCACCAGCTCCAGTTCACATGAACTGAACTGGTCACCAGCTCCAGTTCATATGAACGTGAACTGCTTCGGCCAGTTCCAGCTCTATGAGCTGAAATGGAACTGTCACATGCCTATTCCAAATAGTAACAACCAGATGTAAATACACGTATTCCATAATCGAATGTGAAATTACACGGCTCGTCAGCAATTGGTATCCTTTCAGAGCGAAGACTCCAACTTGAACAATAAGTTTGACTTTCAGTCCCATTCAACTCCCGTACACCAAATACGATTGAGGTATGAGATTTTGTCTGTATATTATAGATGAAGTATGTATACAGTTGACTTTCGTTGCCTAGATCTATGTTAAACAATAAGTTATTGCTGTGCGTTTTTATAAGCGTATAGTCATTCAACTTACTCGAAGAACAGAATAATGTTGCACCATCCGTCAGATTTATTGTTGTCTTTAGAGACGGTATCCCATCAAAACGTTAGATCAACAGATAGCTGAGATTTGAATTAAAAGACTGCATTTCGAAGTGAACAGATGCAGTCAGATTTAAATTTGGTTGTGTAATGTTGACATAATGGAGGTTGTATGTTGCTGTTTTGTTCGAAGAAGTGACCCTCTGAACTGTTACTTCGGGAACAAACAAGTTCGGATCACGTGGGATTATAAATTCAATTGGCTGTTGTAAATTGTTTACTGTTATTGAATAACCTTGGTCGTCGTGCAAGGACAATGAAATTGACGTCGAAAGGTTTAGACTGAGCAGTCCACTTTGAGGCAGTGGCATTACAACTGACTAAAAATTAAAAAGGCGGAGATTAAAGTCAAGTAAAATTATGATGAATGTTCACGATCTTCTACTCACACTAACTGTCACTGGTGTAGAATCCGTATAATTCATTGAGATATTAAAAAGCTGTGGTAAGGAAACGTATGATCCACTGAAGGGGGTAATAGTCATATTGGATAAGAGATTAACAGTCGTTTTTTCTAATGATGTGATGACTGAAGACGTATTAACAACAGTTTTCTGTCCAATATTCATATGACATGCCAAAACATTAATAATAGCAGATATTGATGCATCCGTATTGATTATAATTTCATTTGCCTTTTAAAGATAAGAAAAGACAGAGGCTGAGTTAAATATTTTGTAGTTTTTAAAACTCTCTCGTAACACATACTGTTTGTTTCTGATAGTAAATATTTCGATTCTTTTGAATTGTGGACCATGAAAAATCATTACCATCGGCAAATAAAGCTGGAAGAACGAAGCAAATAATAGCGAGAAACAAGAAGTTGGAGCCTCGGAAACAACGCACGCGTATTTGACCAAATATTTTCAAGATCTGTATCATAATCCAATGGCAAAGCGTTGGCACGATTATTATCCAAGTCCAACAGCTGGGCCCGACCGAGTAGATACGAATTTACGCCCTAAAACCAAAACTCAATTTCAACTCCGTCTCAAGGAACCATTTCTTCAAGCGATGTTAGGGTAATCACTAGTACTTACCGTGTGCACATTACTTGTGCACTGTGCTATCTGTTTGGCAGCAGCTTGTGCATCTTCACAGGTAATGAGTTGAGCCATTTGCTTCAGTGCATTTGCCAATTGAGTACATTTGGTTGATGCTAGAGCCTGTGGTAAACAAAAGTGTTCGCCTATCAATTATCAGCTATCATAAACCTACAAATACGTCACCATACGTACTGCTCCATTACGTGTTAACTCCGATGTTGTCTGTGTCAGCTGCGTTACAGCCGATCCCTGCAGTTTGACACTATCAACAGTTGTTATCGGAAGATTTTGAGGGAATTTTAGTAAATAATCATGAGCTGTAGCGCGATTATTCAAGCCTTCAAGATAGGATGAAGAAGAAGACGCATCAGAATGATTCTTGAACTAAACAAAATTATATACCATCAAAACTATTTAGATTAAAGGTGTTGCATGACTTACCGGTAAGGACTGTGAACCAAGTGGTGAAACAAAGAAACTGGCTGCAGTGAGAGCAGGGCCTTTAAAAGACAAATATCGTAAAAATTTTAGATTATCAACGTTTTATGAAAAATCTTTATCTCACCCACCTCCCAATGTCGTCAACTCGTCGAGAGTAGATTCACTCATTCCATTGAGTGTTTGCGAAAGCGATACCAATATCTGATTGGCTCGATTTTGATCACCTCCATACAATATCTAATCAATGATATTGTTTCCTACACCTTGATTTGCAGTCATTTGAATTTGATCAGTGTATAGTGAAAATGTGTCATTGTCAGGCAGTACCTATAAGTGAGGTAATGCGTAGCCAACCCAGATGAAAGTAATCCTCGTATAGTTAAAGCGCACTTACTGTAATTACTATTGGTATCTCATAGAATCGAATTGCTCCATACATATCACGTATCTGTGCAGTGATCGACTGCGAATAATTCGAATTCGAATCGCCGGCTAGTAAATAAACCTTGAAACTTGTTAAAGATGTAAAACCGATGATAATCTGACTGTTAGAGCCTGAAAAGAAAGCGAAATCCTATAGTGTTTTGGTTTTATGATTAACATCTATTACTTACTATAAAATGTATAGTCCTGTATGCCATCTGAATCCATCCAATTCGTACAGAGGATAGTAAAGAGAGTCGTTGTTTTACCCGTCACCGGAGTTACACTACACGTGCCATTATCAGGCGGGCTGTTTGTCTGAAATCGGATTGCACCTGTTCCATTGACGTTACTACCGACAGACGTGTATGTGACTTCAAATAGCCAATATTCAACTGACAAGTAGTTTGAAAATAGATCGTTTAGTACAGTCAAATTCGACGTACCCATACCTAAGGAAGTTAAAGACACATTACCCAAGCATGAAAAAAGTAACGGACCACGAGCGCTGCAACTCGTTACAAGAAAGTACGAAAAAGCTGCAACGCCTTGTTTCAAAACACCGTACACTTGGTTGTTTTGTAAATAACTTTTGATAGAGATGAGATAGCGACCCTGCAGTTCTCAGTTTTGAAAACTAGACACCTGGCTACATATTTCCGTGATCAAAAGCGAATTTTGGAAAAACTTTTAAAGAGGATTTTTTAGAGGATCTTGGGAAAACTAGTTTAGATTGTCCGAAATACACATAGGAATGTATTGATTTTTCTCACGGGCTCGTAGCCCGGGATGTTCTTTTCAAAATGGGAGTTAAGTGAGACTTTGATTTTCTGTGGTTCGGCCCGACTACCCTAATTTTTGTAAAACTGGCTTTTCGGTAGATTTTTAAAACTTTTTCTAAAAGCAAATATTGCCACGAGACTTAGCATGGTCGATTATCTATAGTCCACCAGTCTTTAAGGCTACCAAGAGTCACCGGGTGCTAGTGCTGGGACTTGTCGGAAATCCGATATAACGCCCGAATCACAGAAAATCAAAGTCTCACTTAACTCACATTTTGAAGAGAACACCCCGGGCTATGAGCCCGTGAGGAAAATCAATACATTCCTATGTGAATTTCGGACAATCCAAACTAGTTTTCCCAAGATCCTCTAAAAAACCCTTTTCAAAAGTTTTTCCAAAATTCGCTTTTGATCACAGAAATATGTAACCAGGTGTCTAATTTTCAAAACTGAAATCCGCAGAGTCGCTGTCTCATCTCTATCAAAAGTTATTTACAAAACCACCAAGTGCACGGTGTTTGGAACGGATAGTAGTTACACCAGATTCCGAAGGCGACGCAACTAGTTATACTTTTACTATTGAAATATGAGTCGACGAAACGGCCAAGGCATCGGACCCTTCATCGATCGAAGCGATTTTTCACTAGCTATATTTAGTTTTTTTCCATCAGCCGTCCCTTCTTGTAATATCAGTAATTGATCTGACCCACTCACAATTCTTACTGTAGTGTTCACTCAAACAAATAAGAGATAATAAACTGAATTTTCGACATTAATTTTCTTCAAATATATGCGAAGTGTGTGAGTCTTACAAAACTTTACTTAACATATAGCCATTCTGAATCATACTGCGATCTATTCGATGGTTTAATCCACTGTACGTCTAGAGAAGTAGCATAACCCTGGTAGATTTGCCATGTGATGACAGTTGAAGTTGAATTATCACAATCAGAGCAAGCTGAAGTTAAGTACATTTGTGTATTTGGATTCAGTCGTTGATATTCAACATTTGGTAAACACACGTTTAAAACACATCTGAAAAAGAAGATAATTTATTAGAGCACAGCTGTATATCTCCGGCAAATCTATTCTCACTTACTTGATTGAAACAGTCAGTGCTGTAGAATTTCTCAATGTAATCAACGCATAACCAGAGTAGACCAGTGTTGTATTATAAATATTCATCAGTGTGACTTTAAATTCATATGTACGATTCAGTTGTAAGGCATTGGCATTGATCATCAATGCCAATGCCTTACAACTGAATCGTACTTCGTAATTCGTTTTCTCTCAGCCAAACAATGTCCCTAAGCCGAAAAAGCTTCAGAACATATACTTCGAAGTGTCCTCTACAGACTGAGAAAATTTAACAAAAACATTTCTCTAATTTGTGGCTAGGTAAAAATATTTTCTGAATAATATAAATATAATATAAATAAATAATATAAATATTCTGAATAACTTTCGTACCCACACTTTTCCTTGAAAATGCTTCCTTCGAACGAAATTTGGTTCAAGGTAAAATACAATATTGTACTATAAAATGTGTTTTTTCTGTAGGTATAGTTCAATGAGGTTTTCAGATGTTATGATTTCCTAGCAATTTTAAAGGAAAGTGTATATATATATAATATTTATGTTCATTTTCAAGCAAATATATCTTTATGTTCAACATGACATCGTCCCTAATTATTCTTATGCAAATGGTGTTCGAACTGTTAAAGACTATTTTCAGAAAAGACTCTTTTTATGCTTAAGTATACGATATCTTTTAATCTGATTTTCCATAAAATGTTTTTCTTTTTGCTCAGTTTTGGTTTTATATCGAAAGCTATTATTTTATTGGTAATCTGTTAACAAAACTGTATCGAATTATTATTTATTATTAATTATTATTGTAATTATTATTTGTAGTTTTATTTTGCAGATAGACAATATATAAATATAATACAGTTCTATGATAAAATTTCCGAATTTCTTCTAGTGAGTCATCCCTAATGGGTCAACCTTCGTCGGCTGATATCTGCTATACTGGTACCTAGCACTTTATTACTAATTAGTTGTATGCAACTAAAAAGATGGACCGATAAACTGAATAAACGTACATATCAGAACCGGGTACTTTCTTCTAAAATTTCTAGAAAACCATTACATCTGAATACTTCAACGAAACCTTTTTCAAACATACTGGAAAATTCACATCATCTGAAATTCTCACTGAACTATATCTATACAAAAAAGAAATTTTATATTATAATATTATATTTTGCTTAAAAGGCAGTAAGTTAGGAAAGCATGGCATATCAAAATTTAATGTTTTTTTTCCAGCGAAGCGACTCTCGAAAGTTTTATATATTTTCAATCAGCGCGACGAGTTACGTTGTACGGCGCAAAGATTTCGTCGGGGGTATCGACACTTTTGGAGTCGGATTCTCCACTGTGTGTTTTCACAGTATATTACACTATATTCAATAGTAGACATCAACGATGGCGGTTTTTCCCGTTCTCTTTTATGTTTCATTTTTCTTTACTATGATGTTTTTTCTTCCTATGCACACTACAGAGAGATATAAAGCAAGAAATGGAGAAAAGAACATTTTATGGTTTTATGCAAAAGGAAGATTTGCACTCACTGTGAAATTAGTGTATATTTTGGCAACTTTCTAGGTTAAACCGCTTGGTTTTTTGTCTTGTTTTGTATATTTATTGACACAAAAGAAAAATAACAGCAAAATAAACAAAAAAGAAATATAAAAAAATACAAAAAGAAATAGTATACTTCTCGTTATTTTTCTGGCGGCGTTTATAATATAGCACATATTTAAAAACAAGTCAATTTATTTTATAATTTTCTTTCTCTTTTTTTCTTATGTGCATCATGTATATATTGCGGCATGAATTCTTCGAATGAGTGAACAGGATATCTTCTTTTAAAAAACTTTTCTTTTTTTCCACATCTTCTCGCTGTTCTTGGAACTTCCAAGAACGAATGATGAGTATAGCGGTAATGATATGTAGTTATTGTTCATCATTTGACACTCTTGT